TACAGTGGATTCCACTTGATAATAAGCGCCCATAAAGACCAAAAACAAGATGGATTGATGACATCAGCAAGTATTGTGGGGCCAATTGGGAAAAGAAAGCTCAAGACCGTATTGGTTCGAAACATACTGAAGAGGCCTTCATTCTGCAATGAATAGAAAATGGCTAAAATGATGATGGTGGTGAATATAACCTACACCAAGTAATTCATTTTTCATCTGTCATTAAGTCTTACAATTTATCTCCTGTCACCCCTTTGCTTTTGTTCTATAGGCTAATTTGGATACATGGATATGTCCTTCATGATATTTATAAACTCTCAGTATCCTTCTGTAGCTGAATTTTACTGTTTCTGACATTCAGTGTCTTGGGTTCTTGCTTCAAGTATATTTATTGTCTGTTTGTCATTGTTTCATTAAGGACTGCAATAAAGACTGATCTTCTAGATATTTTGAAGCAGAAAGTCAAATTCTAATGCTGACTAATGTTTATGGGAATTGAAAGTTTATAAATATCTTTAAATGCATTCATTGTACTTTGCTTTTTGTCTATTTATTTTCCTAAACTTTATACATCTTTTTGTTCTAATAATAATAATAATATCTGAAAGCCATCTTCTTAAACCTTTCATGATTATCCTTATTAACTATACCGACATCCTGTTACATCTTCTCCATCTTAGATTCAAGCCAAGTTTCTGTAATACTGGCTTTGAATAATAATCAGATTTTCTTGAGAAACTTTATCCTCTTTATTTTCCTTTTCACCTTCTTCTTCAATATCTTAAATACTGGGAAGCTTGGTCGTTTAAAGTCACATGTGATTATGTTGTTGGGAACTTTTTAAATATATAATTACATACATCAAAGTAGCATAGTAAAGCATGATAATATCTTTTTAGTAAAGTGAATCAGGGCAGTAGCATTTACAATTCAATTCAAAAATACTAGGAACTATTTAGGATTATATCTAGGATAATCTCACTTTTTGATATCATATCTAATTTTTCTAAGGCTTAATCATTTTCACATATTGAAATCATAAGGACGTATGTTATTCTCTTCTGTGAGAGAATTTAACATAGTGTCTCTGTGCATGACACTCTTAATTTGATTAATGATTTGAAGATTCATCACAGAATTATTGAGATGGGGGATGGATGATGATATGCTCAGATTCAAAATTTATTTTGTGGTCTACCATTGATACCTGGGGTGCTTTTCTGAAAGAATATGTACCAGTAAAAATGTTTATTGTATTTTCTTCAGTATTTGACATACAAAATTATTCCATTTGCAATATTCTCTTATCTTTCCCCACAGACCACATGCAATCCTAGTAAAGCTTTACTGAACTTTGCTTCTAATAGTTATTTAGCATTTATTTATAAAATTATGACTGCATTATTTTTCATCCATAGGAGAGTCCTCAGGGAAATTATTGTTTAGAAGTTAAAGAAAAATGATACAGTAGATTAGAAGTAGGAAGAGGCAGAACATAATTGTTGTATTTAAAATTATATAATAACCAATGAAGAACTAAAATATTTTTAATGCTTTCCAAAAACCTAATAAAAGATTCTGTCTTATTTCTATTGGAGGAAAACATCTCAGCTATTAGGATAACACAGAAAAGTATTCAAAGGAAATCTTAAATTAAGGGCAATTTCATGTGGAAGGCGGCATATTTTTAGGTATTTCATTTAGGTTTTATTGTCAAGAAACACCCCTTATTATCCAACAAAATAGTTGTATAAGCTGCTATCTCATTCATCTTCTAAAAAATTCTATCAAGTGTGCGTAACAAAGTACTGTAAGATTGCAAATAAAATATTCAGAAAGTGTTCTAATATGTTGTTAGAATATGCTCATTTTTCTGGGGCCCAAAATATAGCAGTTCTGGGTTATTCAGTTTTATTTTGAGATGACAGATTTGGGCTGAAGCAGGACAATTTCTGTAATCAAAACATTTTTATAACTACAATATAGTTATAAAGATGCACACTTAAAGCAGAGGTTTAGCCTCATTTACTCTAGGCACTTTTAACCCATGCTGGTTTTCTAATTTACCTTAACCTTAACCCATGTCCTTTAATTCTAATGATTTTGGTACTGTTTCCTTATTATATATTCTTAATCTACACTCTTGGNAGTATCATCCAGACAAACAGAGCACAGATGTGCCAGCAGGAGAAGCAGAGGCACGCATGCAGAGGTTCATCGAAATTGATCGAGCATGGAAAATTCTAGGAAATGAAGAGACAAAAAAAGAGTATGACCTGCAGCGGCGTGGTAGGTTCCTGCCGAGGAGTGCTGTAGTAGTAGCAACAGCAGCAGCTCTCAATGGTCAAAAATGTGGGAATCGTTTAGTGGCGGTCTCTGAAATATTATTTGTTCAACCAAAACATTTCATTTGCTTCCATCTTTGCTTTCATATTTCGATGCATTATTTATACTGATTACCACATCTGCATTAGGCGGTTAAAAACATTAAATTACTTTCGACAAAGCGTTTGGTGGTAACTGTTCTAAATGTAATGCATGTAGAATTTAGATAATAATGACTTCATTTAGCCATTCTTCATTTGACAGTATTTAAAGCATTTTCGCTAAATGTTCTTAATTACTGGAGTCACGCCCTTTGCTACATTCCACTGTTACATTTTAAATTAGTTTGAGTAATTTATGTCAAAGGTATCCTGCAGCATATGGTTTTATGAACACTTTGCAATAATTAAACTGTACCCTTTCTATCACCTTTTACAAATCAAGCACTGTCCTAGGATATATTTTTTTCACAAGGTATGTATGATGCCAGCTAGTTTTCAGCAAGCACGTTATAACCACAATTCATTTAACCAGGCAGTTCCAGCATACCTTTTTGTATATCTCTTGAAATGTAGCATTGTAAAACAGTGACAGGCTGTTGTGAAAAAGAAAGGGGGAAATATAGGTCAGATCTGTCACACATGGGCTACCATTACATGACGTGATAGGCTGTCTTTCTGCTCTGGCCTCAGGATAGGAGTCCCTCAGCCTTCCATTAGAACCTTCAATAAATGTATATCCACCCTCCATGTTAATGGGGGGAGTCAATAATAGTGTATTGCCTGTGGGGAAAACACTCAGTTGCACTCTGCAGTAACACACTCCGGTCTAGCATTGACATGTAGCTACCACCACTTTTTAGTGTGTCTGATAAAAGCTCACTGTCTCTGCAGCATGTTATTGAATTCCCTTCCATTGTACGTTTGGCACACCATCAAACCTTTTTCTCTTGCTGTTTTAACTTCCCTGCTGTGAAGGTTGCCACAATTTTATTTGAGAAACAAAGGCTTAGTCAGCGTGGCTGGCAGATACATATAATATACTGTGTAGACAAGCTTATTTTTGTTCATTAATTATTTGAAAATGTGCAATGGACAAAATAATTTTTGATTTAATCGTACGGCGTAAAGCCTAAGTGAAAATTAGGACTTATTAGGCAAAAAAATAGAACTCTGTTTTTAAGAAAAAAAGCCCTCCCTTTTGTAACAACTGATAAATTATTTCATTCAAACTTATTACATGATTACATTTGAAATTAAAATGTAATGAAATATCAATAGCTAGCGTTATCCTTTCAGGCAATGTGGAGAATAAAGATTTTATTATTTATTTGGTAAAACTTTCCTGGACTTAAATGTTTAAATATTTAAAACTTATCCAAATTTATTTGATTTGGTTGAACATGGCCTCTGACATGCATTTCTTGTTGTTCTGAGAGGATTGACAGTTTTTATGGAAAGAAGTTATTTCCTAATAATTTATATGCTAGCGCTTGCTGTAGTCACAAGAATGGCAACATATATGCCTAGGACACGTGGCTTTTGTTTTTAGCTAAATTTGATGTATTAACTGTTCCCTTCATTGGGATGTTTCTGCCAGTAGTAGTGATTAAACTATCAGAAAGGTGGTCAACATTATCTTCAAGCTGGGATTCCTGACTTACTGCTTTCTAACTACCCAGAAAATGTGTAGTTAGAAAGCAATTATAGGAACAGAGATTGACACTGAATTTANAAATCTGTTATTTGGACATTGGAGATTCTGACAATTCCCTTTCCCCTGCTGCTCCTGTTATCCTAACCTTGTTTTTATGTCCTTGGAGTTCCTAACGTTGCCAGCACAATGGATACTAGTGGCTAGTGCTTTGGGCTTCTAATTTGAATACTAGTGCTCTGGATTGCTTTGTAAGATCTCTGGTGTATTCTGACAATTCACTGTGCTCTTCTGTGCTCTCCAACTGCCTGCAATCTGGGCTTCTTCATTGTGAACACACTGGACTTTGTTAATGTTCTGGATTGTTTGACAGGGCCTTTGCCAATATATTCTGTGGTAGTCCACTACTGTTTACATTCCCTGCTAGGAACATCACCTTATTTCAGTTACTAGTGTACTTATGATGTGGCCTCATTTAATGTTTTTTCCTTATGCTTCCCATCACTATTATGAACTCTCTTAACAGCTAAGCCTTGTTAAAAAAGCCAGCTTGTAATACCTTCAAGGGTGGAGCTTGTAAAGGTAGAAGATTCAGAATTCATATGTTTATGCTGTTATCACAGACACAGGACATAGTTTGCAGCCATATCTCATTTCTACTCCATCTTTTTTTTAATGATTTATTTCCTGCTATCATGAAGGAAAAATTTGGGAGTAAAGCCTAAAGAATAGGCTTTTTAGCAGTAGGTTTTGCTCTAAATGAGTATGGATGGAATCATTTATAAAAGTATAACATCTGAAAAGTTATATATCACATTAAAGAACTAATATAATTATTATAAAGAATTGATATCATTATAAAGAACAAAATTATCTGAAAAAAGAAATACTTGCTTTAACAAGCTCCAATGAAGACATACATTGTAATATTTCTTCTTAAACTATTACTAAGGTAGATTAGTAAATTACTAAAAGATAATTGTTCTTTTTCATTTCTCTTTCAGTAGCAGCAAAATTTGAGATGTAAATGGGTTAACTTTGTTTTAATTGTATCTGTTTAATTTATTGAAGGTGTGCAGAATTGGTTAGGTCAGAGAGGTTTTATTGATCCAGTAATTATCTCTAACTTGTCTGATTTGTTTTAATTGCCTTCATTAAGATTAATTTAGATGGAACTTGTTCCCTGGGGATCTGTAGTGTAGATTTCAGGTAAAATTAGAATCACAATTTAAGGTTGCAAAAAGGAAGAAGAGACCATAGCCCAACTTGATACTGGTTAATCGGCCGCTAATTAATGAATTGCATGGGGGAGAAATCATGCTTTAATATTAAAGTGCTAATTAGAATTTTTTTCACTAATACATGAGGGCAGTTCAAATAAGTGTTTAATTTCACTACCAATACATTATTCATAGTTAACTATTGTGGTAGCAGATTGGATACGCCAAAATGGAGAACATCAGTATAACATTTGTTCTAGAATATTTCTTTCATATTCAGTCAGGAGGTTCATGTATGCTTTTGGTTAAATGTGACTCAATTTCTTGTGGAATGCATGTACAGTAAAACTTAATAAACCTCTAGGGTTGTTTGGCATTATGCCTTCAAATTAAATGTTCTAACTCAATTTCTTTCTTATATTGATGTGGATTCTAAGTTCAATGTAGTCCCTTTCTAATATATTTCTTATCTCTAAACTTTTAAAATTATCTTATTTGATATTCTATTAATACCTCTTATACCTTTAATATTCTATACTTAAATATTCATTAAACTTTGTAATGCATTAATATTATTCTGCATATCTTACTGAATAATTGTTATTATTTAATTTGAGAAAGCAAGGAATCTCAATTTTGTTAAACTAAATTTCACTTAAAATATGAAATTGTAATTATGTATGCAAAGCAGTGAATGATAAAGTTGCATCTTCTATGGAGACTACTCTATTATCCTGTCAGAAAACCATTATTACACTGTAAATCTCAAATAATTTGTTAATAGATTTGCCAGTGTTAATGATACTATGAGTTAATTATCTAGCTACCATCCCATTTTTCACTTTACATTTGCATTATGTAGTGCTTTGTGTGCTGTTAATCTTAATTGTGATTATTTTATCTTATAAATATCACATACTATTATGGCATTAACCTGTTTTTTATTATATATGTCTAAACTCCATCGAAAGATGCATCTCTCTCTCTGTGTGTATGTATAGGCACACATACACCTTTAAAATACATTTGTATCTATTAGCACATAATCCTTTATGAAGCATAAGAAACATCTTGTATAAATATGAAAGATAAACTATAATACCCTCTGAAGATATTTTTGAAATATTTATTCCCCTGGAAAGAACATGTTGTAGTTTAAACTTATATTGGATAAGACCAATCATTTCCACAAAGCTGTACGTTTTTTCTTGAAGTGTAGTAGGCAATATGGAGATACTAATATCAGATCTTAACTTCAGAAGATCTCACATTGGATTACTTGCAGAGTAATCTGGAAACCAACAAAGCTTCTCAAATGCTAACTGCCCAGGCTCATGTCAAACACAGGATTCAGATGAGCACATTTCCAAGATGGGAGACAGACAGACAGACAGACAGACAGAGATCCAACTATGAGAAGAAGAAAAACGTTTGTTTTTCAGCAAAACAAATGTTGATTCATTGTATGGTATTTACTTCTACGTTTTTAATGGATTATTGACCCCCCCCTTTTCTCAAATATACTTGAGAAAAGATATCTTTCAATTTTGAATATGAAGGATTAACACAATTTGCAACACCAGTGTTCAGAAGTGCAGTCAGATAGATGGCTGAGCTGGCAACCAGAAAAAGATTTGTGAAGGCTCATATATCCTCTTTATAAAAAGAAGATAAACATTTGATGAGAAATGAAAAATATTAACCAAGACAATTTAATGAAACCTATCCTGTCTTTTTTAGATTTTCCTGCATACCATGGTTGAAAACATCTGACTTGCTTATGTTATATCTCAGTAGAAATATTTTTCATTAACTTTATTTTATGTAATATCTAGAATAAAAATATATTGTTCTTCCTGATAGCTAGGAGAAGCATACAAATTCTAAAGTGTGCTAACATACTTCAGGAGAAAAGTAATTGAATGGAGAATGTTGAGTTAGTGTTATGTATCAAACATATGAGCAGTTCTTGGAGAAATGATTTAAAACTAAATTTGTCAGAACTGCATCCACTTCCTGGAACCATGTTCTCATCCATTCTTAACCATAGAGACTCACTTCTGTGACAGCCAGTCTCTTTCTCAGTCCAACCTACCTTACAGAGCAGTTGTGGAGAGAAGACATTGTGATTTCCCTCTTGAGCTCATGGAATAGAAAACAAAACAAATCAGTATGTTGTTGTGAGCTTATAGCCTTTATCTTACACAATGCTGTGGTAAATGATGTCTTTTTGTTTTTTCATAGAATATGAGTTAGAACAAGGATTTCCAGTGGATACTCAGGTTCCACTTGAAGATATGACCTGGAATCCCAGTAAGTTATGTGAAACCACCTCATATGTCAACTGAAATATTAATGTGTAAATGAGCACTGCTAGAATAGCAAGCAAAAAGCTGGTTGCAGAGATAACAGCTGTTTGTTTACACCCCATAAACTTGTATTCAGAATCTTGCGACCCCTGAAACTGAAGATTCTGTTTAGAAATGAAATCAATCAGAAGGTGTTAGAAATAACATTCTTTGTGTTGTCTAGATTTCTTTTAAAAGCATCCATACCAATAACTATTACCTCATCCTGTTGTCACAAGTTCCATCAGTTAAATGTTTGTGTGGTATGAAATATTTTAAGTAATTTAGATTTACTGTTTGTAAAAAGAAACAGTTCTTGGTAATTACATCATTGCCCTTCATTATTCTTTTCTAATCCTAACAAACTGGTGCATTTTGATTGCTCTTTTTTTACTGTCCCAGGTTTGATACTGTTTTGGTATATAGCAAATTGCTTTGTGTAATGATTTATTGTTTGTATGCTATTTAACTTATTTGATATGTTGGTAGTTAGAAAGTATTTCAATTAGTAGTGCAAAAAGCTTTTTGTAAATATATGCAAGTGACTAAATATACCTGTGGATTAAGTTACAGAACAGGTAGTTCATCATGTTTTTCCCCTAATTATCAGGCTTTCTAGAATAACAAAAAGCTGCATCACAAAAGGCATTTACAAACTTGTCTCAACCACAACTGAAAATATGTTCTCTCTTGTGGGTATTGCCTGGTTTCATTGCGTGTGGAAATATAAAATTATGCCATAGATTATTTCTCATGCAAATTGTTTATTATTCTACGTTAAATATTTAATTCGGGTTCTGTTCAATATAAGCTTTCCAGTGATATATGAGGAATCATTGAAACTGGTTTATTTTGTTTCAACAGGTGATCACTGTTATTCTTTCACGTGCAGATGTGGTGGAAAATACATTGTTTCCAAAAATGAAGTTGAAGATGTTTCATTAGTAAGCTGTGATACATGTTCATTAGTTATAGAAATTATTTGATGTGCCATCCAGGAAATACATCAATGCGGCTAGTATTGTAAATAGCTGGAATAGTAAAGAATAGTTCAATCTGAAATGGTTTAATTCTTGCATTCCAAATGGTTGAATGTGTGTGAAAATTCTCAGAAGAAAAGGTATGTGATGATAATTTTTAGGCTCTGTTTCATTAAAACTAAATTACAAATAACCTGAATCATGATACATCATTTATTGAATATAAAAATATAAATCACATTTGAAAGATTAAAAAAGATGACAAGATAAATCAATTAGCCTTTACAAATCCTGTGACTGTTGGGACTTGAACGCAGAAATCCAAAATCCGTCAAAGGCCAAAGCTGTGAAATAAAACAAACAATTATTTAATACGTTGAGCATCAGTCATCCTTTAGCTTTTCTCTGTTTCAACTGAAGTGTTAATGCAGTGAACTGAACATCTTAAACAGGCTAGTAGTACAGATTTACTCACTGTATTTTTCAGACTATAAGACACATTTCTCCCTCCTCCCCAAGTGAGTGGAACTGTCTGTGTGTCTTATAGAACAAATATTGTGGCGGGGATGGTGGTGTGGCGCCAATCAGCTCTTCTAGGTGGTGGGGGTTGCCGCTGCCTATTGTTGCCGCTGCCTGTTTGCGGCGATCGGCGGCAAACGGGAAGAAGAGGCAGATTTTTTTTTCTTTTTTCCTCCTCTAAAAGCTAATGTGCATCTTATAGTACAGAACATCTTATAGTCAGAAAAATACGCTACATATGCTCTTCACTTAAACTACAGTGTTGGGAGAATTTCTAGAATGAAATATGTTTATTTAATAAGTAAAATATTTGGAATTATCTAGAATGAATTATAGTTCCAATCTCTCCCTACTGCTTCTCTGGATACACATCATGGGAAAAATACACACTCAATGGTGACTGATCAAGAGTTCAGATGATATATTAAGATTGTTTAGAAAATTAGAACGTTTATATTGGTTTAATTTTCTCACATATTTTTCTGTAAGGGCTAAATATTTTAATTGTTTAAGATGGGTCCCCAACCCCTAGTCTGTAGACTGACATAGGGCTATGGAAATCAGGCCGTATGGACAAGTGAAGCCCCATCTACAGGATGCAGACAGCATGCAACACCATGCCCCCTCCGATCCATGGAAAAACGTCTTTCCACGGAATTGGTCCCTGTTCCCCAAAAGCTTGAGGGTCACTGGTTTAAGATAATGTGAATATATATGACTAATTCTCGTTACTTTAAGATGTATATATGACTATTATGGAGGATTTGTTTTATTTCTGCATTAAAAAATCATTTGTACTCTTTAGGCAGACCCTCATCTAAACAAAATAGGTGAATTATGAATAACTATGAGATGTGAGAGTTAGCCAGCAAACTACAATTGCATAAAAAACAATACAGATGAAATACACCCAGGCTGAGGTTGGAAGCTGAAATAGTTTTTTAAAATATGTCATTAAAGTCATCTGTTTATGGGAGAATGGCATAAAACCATTTTTATAAAATGATCCATCACACTAAAAGCATGTTAGGCCTAATATTGAGGAAGAGAAGGGTGGCTTCTCTAAGGAAAAGCTTTATACTACAGCCATTTATGTTATTTGACACTGTAAACATGTAAATATTGATCTGGAAGATTTTATACTTCGATTTCTGAAAAGCTTTTAGCAAATCCCTCGCTAAGCATTTCTGAATCAACTAAGCAAACAAGGAATTAGAGTTCAGGTACTCTTAGGAATCAATAACTGGTTAAAGAAAAGCAGCAATCAGCGTAGGAATAACTGAAGAGAAGAAAAGCAGTGGAGCCGCTGAAGGTGTGGAATGAGTGGTATTTTAGTATCTGTTGTGGAAGTGAAAAAGCTTTTCAGGCAGGCTACTGGTTTTCTACATATCACATCATGCTGCAACCAAGGAAGACATTATAATATTTGGGAAACCGAAAGGGAAGCCGCATTGTGTGAATAGTTGGGTACAAACTGGTATATTTACTACTGTTATATTTGCTGCAAAATAAAAAATGGTTCAACATGGTAGTGTTTTTATACATGAAAAGAGAAAATCAAATGAATTGTTGAGAGAGAAATTTTGTGTGTGTGTGCGTACGTGCATATTTTTATGTAGTAGATACTTAACTAATACTTTGTAAAGGCTTAAACACAATCTTATTTAAGAAGATCGTGTTCTTTGTAACATTTTAACACCCTGGTCCCTGTGTTTCACTAGCTAATGAACATGTCTCATTGTCATAGCTTAAGCCCAAAGACTATAACAACTGTTAAATTAACACATTTTAGATTGCAGGAATATACCTTAAAGCAAATTCGTCCTCTTATCAATCCATATGGAACAGGACCATAACACCTGGAATCTGTAGAATTCGTGAGATTATCACCTTCTAACCAAACATGTCCTTTAGGTACCTGAGAAATATTAAAATTAAAGAACAAATATGTAGGTGAAAAGCAGTGCAATTAATACAGCCTAGTTTCATACAATTGCAGCAAATACATAATTTTACACTCTTAGATTCAGGGGGAGGAAATCTAATATACTCTGTCATAGGCTCCCCAAAACACTGCAACACTGACAAAAATCTCCAAATGGAAATGTTAGGTTGGATCGGTGTGACATTCATTTATTTAATAGACTTTAAAAGAGTTAATTTAGGATGTTGACTGAAAATCTTGCTCTACTGTCACAGTAATATAAGCAGGCCAGCCACACACTCATCAACCTCCTGAGGCCAGCACTAAGGCTTACACCAGTCAGTAAGCTTCTGATGAACTAAATGGTAATTGATGGTGACATCAATTACAAATAATCTCATCATTTTATCAGAGAGGACTTGTCAAAGTTCTAATTAATATCACAGTTCATTCTATGTCCAGGCAGGATTCACAACACATAATATTGTATTAATGACCATCACAAACCAGCAAGTCCCTCCTTATAATTTAAAAATTAATAATGGTGACCTTACAATGTGACAGAAGCCTTTTAATATGGACCGCATTATGAACAACATGCTAGGGATTCAGCCATAAAGAAATTGCTTTATATCAATCATAGTACAACAGCTATAGTAAATAGAACAGTTCCTGGACTTATATATACTGAAAAACTTAAAGGCTATTAAAACTAATATGAAGTTAAATATTTTAGAATTTGGAGATGAATTAAAATGAAGGAAAATAAAAAATAAAAATGATTCCTTCTTGTCCCAGAGGGCAGGACCAAAATAAAAGGAAGAGGTGAAACATGCAAAATGAGAAGAACTGGACTGAACAAGGGAAAAAATGGAAAATTTGGTGGGGGTGTAACAGCTAAATGGTTTGACACTGGAGAAAACAAGCACTAGCAGCTTGTTGGTTGGAAGATGGCAAGTCAAGGCAGAGTGAGGAGTGGTTGAGTGTGGTAGACAGAACGAGAGACAAAAAGAGGTGACAAGAGTAGCTCTTTTGAAATGGTGAAAGGGGACACAAATCCAAACTCCATTTATTCTCTAAACAGGAATGCATCTATTAGTGCTTTGAAATAGCAATTCCAGGTATTTTACTATCCCTACACATTTCTCAAAAGCAAGAGAGAAATATGAATAACAACTTAATAGACCTAAATGTGCTTCCAGATGGGAGTATATTTAAGAACTGACTCCCTGCATCCTTCTTGGAGAAAAATGCCAACTCCAACTTCATCCACAATTTTCCCACGGGAAAGACATCCTCCCTAATATTTTATCTACCATTACCTTAAAAAATGAAACAGTTTACAGAAGTCTAGAAAATAAAGTATCTTCAAACACTTATCAATTAGCTGGAGGTCTTACTAACACATTCCTAATAGCATGAAAAACCGCCGTAAAAAATGCCAGATGATGTCTGTGAAAAGGGGAGGGGCTTATACTTACAAAGGCATTAGAAAATCATGAACATGAACACAAATACAATTCCCAACATAACCAGAGTATTAAACATGTTGGGAAAATCTCAGAATCTGACAATCAGCCCCTAAGAATTAAATGCCTAATGGATAGCATTAGGACAATAATGGACAGGGATAAAGGATTGGCTCAGTTTTGGAGCTAACAGAACAGCCAGACTCAAAATTATTTTATTAAATTTTACAAAATATTGTAAAATATATTACTACAAACAGAAAAATATAAAAAGGTGCAAAGAGATAGAAACTATATGAACGATCCTTCTTCACCCTCCAGAAAAGGTAACGCCGTCTCTAATATTTCAATTTAAAAACACCTCTTCTTCCTTTATTAGTAATCAAATGGTAAAAAAGCATCTTTTAATACTAATCAACAAAAGTTTATTGAGAGCTACCAGAAATAGTAAGATACATATTTTAACCTTCAAAGAAATCCATTTTATAATCCAATCACTTACTTTAAGAAATAAAATAAATCTCTTCCCACTTATAAACAGATCTTTAAGGTCTTGTCATTCGGTCCTGGTCCAAAAGCAATCTTATTAATAGCTATCAGAAACCACAACGTACATATTTTAATACCCATCAAATTTCACTTTATAGTCCTGCTTAATTTTAAAAAGCTTGATATTTAATCCTGTCAAATAAAATTTTATATGTTGATATCATTTTCTCTTTGTCTCCTTTTAGGATCATTTTCAGTAGTTTAACCCATCCTTTTTGTAAATTCAAGATTTAAAAAACTTTCCAAATCATTATCTTATGTGTATATCCCCTTTAATTATTAAGACAGTGTAAATCCATTATGTCCTCTTTTTTGTGTCACTTTTGTAATATGGCTTTTTTAAAAGTTTAGATCCACACTCAAATCAGACTTTTTTATTTAATAGAATTTGTTGTTCTTTTATATCTTCTATTATAGTATCAAACAAGTAATGTCTGAGTGCATTGTTCCTAAATAGCCTTAATTTCTTCTATAGTCAAATAATATTGCTCCATTGTATTACTGGATTGCTTCTCATTTAATTACACTTAATTCTCCCTGATTCCCTCTAGTCAACTTTCAAAGTCCCTTGTAACCATCTGTTTATTTTCCATCAACACAAATTTCTCACAGGATTACTTACATCAATTTCAAAGTCAGGTCTTTATACATCTATTTATAAATTTTTAAATACCTCATAGGAAATATTCATTTCAAGTCTACCTTAACTTTCCAAAATCCACATTATAGTCCCTCTTTTGCTGTTTTCCAAAAATTAAAGCTTTTTAATTTTTAGATTTATATGGAGCTTCTTTTGTCCAAGGCAGAATGAGATTCCCCCAGTGTAATAAAATCCTGACTTGAGAAGATTCTTAATTTCTAATGAATCAATAATAAGCAACTTCCTAAGTTAGTTATGAGAGGAAATGGGCAAATTCAGTGTCTGTTTGAAAGTGCCAAATCAGAGTTTAGACAAGCTGTCTCCCCCTCCGCAGAACTCTGACGATTGCTATTTTACAATCTCTTCGGAAGAGGATTCAGTATGGAACAAATTTGTAGGTGAGCCTTGATCTCTCCTTGATCCGGAGAAGAGTTCTGAGGAGCCACTCCTTTCATCAGTTCCTCTATACAATCCCTACGATGGTAGCAATCACCCGCTATCTTGAAGGGCAGCTTCTTCAGGGAGCCTGATCACCTGACTATCACGGCTGATGCCAACCTATTTCGCTGGGACGCCCACCTGCACAACCAAATAGCGCAAGGCAGGTGGTCCGCCGAGGACTTAACACACAGTATCAACTGGCTGGAACTGAAAGCTGCATGTCTTGTTGTTCTCCACTTCAGGAAGGAAATACAGGGCGGCACGTAATGATCCTTATGGACAATATATCGACAAAGGTGCATATCAACTGCCAAGGGAGCACCCTGATGGCAAAGGTGGAGACTCTGGGAAGGTGGATGGAGAAACACATTGGTTCCCTTCGAGTGGAACACATTTCCGGGGTGAGCAATGTATAGGTACACCATCGATCATTCAAAGTGGCGCCTGCACCCGGACCTCTTTTACCAACTGTCCCAGAGATTCAGCCGCCCAGCAGTTGACCTATTTGCTAGCCTGGAGAACACGCACCTTCCCAGGTTTTTTTCCAAATTCCACTCTCTTCAGGTGCAGGGAGTCAATACCCTCCATTGTCGCTGGCCTCCTGTACGCCTTTCCACCACTGCCTCTCATTCCCAGCATGATCTGGAAGATCCTAGTGGCTCCTTTTTGGCCTGGTTCACCGATCTCGTCAGCCTCTCCATTGCCCAGCCCTGGCGCATTCCCCAAAATGAAGTCTCTCTCAGTCAGGAGGCTTTCCACCACCCAGAGCCTCAGTGGCTCCAGATAGCTGTCTGGCACTTGAAAGGGACCTCCTAAAGAGGGAGAGGCTCTCATCCACACCATTCAAGCCTCCAGATGTGTTTCCACCTTCAGAATCTACGACTCCACCTGGTCAGCCTTTTCCAGGTGGTACTCCAAGAACCACATCGAACCTGTCACGGCTTCAATTCTGTAGGCATTGGACTTCTTACAAGAGGGTCTTGATCAGGGGTTGTCTCCCAATGCTCTTCAGCACCAGGTGACAGTGTTATCCACGATTTTGGCCCCTGACAACCACTTACCTCTTGGGCGGTACCCCAGGGTCTGCAGCTTCCTAAAAGGAGCCGTAAATCTGCAACCCCGTCATCCATCGGTATCTGACTTGGGAGCTTGCGGGCTCTCAACTGTGCTCCATTTGAGCCACTATGATCTTCCAGCATCAGACATCTGACTCTTAAAACCACCTTTCTCAGCCATCACCTCTGCCAGGAGAATTTCGGAGTTGGTGGCGCTATCAGTCAGGAAGGATTTATGCATCATCCACCTGACAGGGTCATTCTCTGTTTGGACCCTTCCTTTATCCCTAAAATCAACTCCTGGTTCCACAGGGCCCAGGAGGTCATCCTACCGGACTTCTGTATGAAGCCCAACCATCCCAGGGAGTGACACTGGCACACGCTTGACATTCGGAGAGCTCTGTGGAGATACATTAAAAGGACTGCCTTGTTCAGGCATTATGAGTCGTTCTTCATCTCCTTTCAGCCGGCATCTATGGGCCGTAAGGTCAGTCCTTCAACCATTGGACACTGGTTGCGCGCTTGTATCACCCAAGACACATCACATCACACTCCACCAGGAGCGCTGCAACCACGGCCACCTGGAGAGGAGATCTGCAGAGCGGTACTGGGGCATCGCCTTCTCCTTTTGTAAAAAAATATAAACTGGACAAGTCCGCCTCAGCGGGAGTATCGTTTGAGAGACGAGTTCTTCAGGGTATTCATTCTAGCGGAGAGACCCTTGATTCCCACCTTAGTGACATTTAGCTTTGGTATGTCCCATGCTTGGACTCTCCAAGCAGCACACAGGAGAAGTAATGTTGGCTTACTTGAACGGTCTCTTCTGCGCACTGTGAGAGAGTCCAACCCCACCCTGGGGTCTCTCACCAGCTCGAAACACCATCTTGAAACGCCTTCTGTACGTGCAAAATGACACCATGGTTGAGACATTTTCTGGATGTGAACGATGTCACCCATGTTGCACAGCTTCACAGGGCCATGCCTTCATTGAAAAAACTGAATCCAGTATGGAACCAAAGGCGTGGCTAAAGAATTTCCAATTCAGTCCTGGGCAGAATTTAACCCATGCTTGGACTCTCCCGCAGTGCACAGAAAAGACCGTTCAGGTAAGCCAACGCTCCTTCTCAACCATAATGCAATTTTCAGATTCTTAGCTTTAGAGATAGCCACAGGATGATAGTGCACCTCTCCTCCAGAATGAAAACCAGTCCTGTGAGCTGAGACTGAATTGAAAAACTGGGGACTGTTACCAAGGAGGCGGGTCTTCAGAATTTCAATTCAGTCGAGCTAGCAGACTAGAATAACCCATCCTGGACTCTCCCATCGATACCATGGAGAATAGCAACGGAATTGAATAAATATAAACAAAATACAATGTACATATTATTCAATCACATGCATATATAAAATGTGTATGTATTTTATTTATGCTGTTCTAAAGATTGGGATTAGTGCACAACAAAGGAATGTAAAACAACAAAAGTATTCCAAAATTTATTTAATGTCTGAACCCTGCTATTCAGAGTATAATATGTACATATAGTTTAATTTAGAGTACATCATATTAGCTATTTGAACTTTTGATGTATGTTTTAACATCAACTAAATACTTTTCAATCCTATGTCTGCAAATGTTTTTAAAACCTAGTTTAAACTTATATAAATTACATTATATATTAAAAACCAAATAGTCATATTTTATAGAAAAGTTATATATAGAACAAGAAACATTTTAAGACTTGGGAATGAACTTCATCAAATGAATGTTAAATAGGTGAATCTATTAAAAAAGATGGGACCACTCTACCATGTTTCTCCAAAAATAAGACAGGGTCTTCTTTTCTTTTGACTCCTGAAATAAGCACTTGGCCTTATTTTCAGGGAGGTCTTATTATTTTTGAGCTGCTGGAGGCGGCGCACGTGGTCACCTTATGGATGCTGCTGTGTTGCAATATTTTCGGCTTATTTTCAGGATGGCTTACTTTAGCGCATGAGCTCAAAAGCCCGATTGGGCTTATTATCCAGGGAGGTCTTATTTTGGGGGAAACAGGGTATTAAAGAAAAAATAAACCCATGATTGGAAGGAAGAGGTTAAAACGAGATTTAAAAGAACAGATTTGTGTTAAGAGTGTACAGTAACTGATCATCAGTAAAATGTTCCTTTATATTTATTTACAACCAATTTCATTGTATTTAAGTATAATATTTATAAAATGAACAACATGCTACTCATGTATTCTACATTTTTCCTTCAACCCTGTCCACTCAAATAATGTTTTACACAAGGTTCTATGTATTAAATCTAGCCATTGTCAACAAAGTGCCAAGTTTTACATGTCACTACCCAGAAACTATATTTGGAAACCGTCCAATAATTAATTATAGCAACCAGCAGATGAATCTTTAATTTTTTGTATAGTTTCTGATATATGAAAGAATGACTACAACTACCGTATTTTTTGGAGTATGACTTTTTCCCCAAAAAAGAGGGTGAAAATCTGGGTGTGTCTTATACTCCGAATGTAGCTCCACCCATCCACTCCACGCTTCACATTTTCGGGTGGTTCCATGTGGCAGGGATCCTCACTTTTACATGGAGCCTGATTCCTGAAGCGGCCCGGGGAATTGCACTCAAAGCCTTTTCAATTAAAGCGCTTTTGGGCTGTAGCGTCATGATCCTGTCCCCGAATCCAAAAAGGATATGTGCAGAGGCCAAAAAAATGCATCATTTTTCAGGTGGCAGGTGGTTCCAGCATGCGCTGCCACCTGAAAATGCTTTCCTTCCCAGTTCCCTGTGCACATCGCAGAGCCATGCACCCACCTCCTCCTCCTCTACAGACTTTCCTTCTGCTTTCTCCTGGCCAGAACCGTCAGCCGAGGGAGGCAGGAATAAAAGTGAAAGGGCAGTGCGGTTGGGCAAGGGTACAGGAGCTGGGCGCAAACACAGGACAGGCAGATCAGAGGCAGCTGGCTGATTGCTGGCTTGCCAGCTTGGCTGCTAGCCACCCGTAGTGCGCAGGCAGCAAAGGAAACCCGTGTCGTGGCCTCCACTGCCTCCTGCCTCGTGCATTGAGGAGGCCGAGCAGCAGCAGCAGCGAGGAAAGCACAGATCTCCTGAACTGCAGGAAGCGGTTGCCAACGATGCCCTCAGGGCGAAGACATTGCAAGCTGGGAGGCCTTCGCCCCCTCAGGAGCCGCCAAGCGCTCGCTGCCCCTCTGACACCTGTCAAGCCTCCTCCTACTGTGGACTTGCATTCTTTTTTCAGCTGGCCAGATCTGTAGCCTGAAACGGATCTGGCCAGCTGAAAAGAGAATACGAGTCTGCGGAGGACGAAAGAGCTGTGCGCCCTTATCTACCTTCTTTCCACTTTAAGGGAGTCTGTGTGCAGAGATCAAGCAGGAGCAGCCAAAGTATCCCAGCTTGGTTTTACGGGATGACCCAAAGTGCGGAAAGATGGCCTGGAGACCAGGGACTTCTCCCAAAGACCTCGCCACATGCATCTTTCAGGCCCTTCCTCTGCTCTGGTCCCTGGAGAAAGCAGCAATGCCGGCATGGGCCCTACTCTGACTAGCGAGCCCCAAGCCCGATTCTCCTCCCTGAACGCTACGGTCACCTGGGAGGACTCGCTAACTTGGCGCACCCATTCAGGCACTGCAGGCCCAAAATGAGTTCAGCAGCGCGCGGCCTGGGTGCTGGTCCTGCCTGCCGGGAATGAGGCACAGCGGAACTCAGCCATCAATGTGGGGCTGGGAGAGTCCCAGGCAGCCACTTCTTTGAGTACACTGCCCACACCCCTAAGTGTTGCTGCCAGTGACCACGGTTTCCTGAGAAGTTTTTCTTTACTGTGCATGATGTTTCCCTGCACAGAGCGGTCGAGAGAGAGAAGCGGTGGAGTTGCCAGACTCGAGTAAGATGCACGCCCCACCCCGTCCCATCCCCTGCCCCATCTGCAACCCCCAAATTGTGCCCAAACATCTTACTCGAGTCTGGTAGCTCCACCACTTCTCTATCTTGGCTGTTCTGTGCAGGGAAACATCTTGCTGCTGCTGCTGCTGCTCTGCCTCCTCAAGGCATGTAGGCAGGAGGCAGCGGCAGCAAGGACATGGGTTTCATTTGCTGCCTGCGCACTCCAGGTGGCCAGTGGCTGGCTGCCTCTGATCTGCCTACCCTGTGTCTGTGCCCGGCTCCTGCACCCTTGCCTGTGGCTCTGCAATGTGCACTGGGGAACTGGGAAGGAAAGCATTCTCAAGTGGCAGTGAGGGCTGCAATTGCCTGCCACCTGAAACACTATGTACTTTTTTGGCCTCTGCACGCACCCTTTTTGGAATCGGGGAGGGGATCGTGGGGCTACAGCCCAAAACCGCTTTCGTTGAAAAGGCTTTCATCAGTTCCCCGGGCTGCTTCAGGAATCAGGCTCCAACCGAGGCAGCAAAGATGTTAGCCAGATGAATAATAATGGATGTTGCTGGGAAAGAGGCAGAAAGATTTTTTTCCTGATTTCCTCCCCCAAAATTAAGGTGCATCTTATACTCCGGTGCGTCTTATACTCCGAAAAATATGGTAAATCTGCCAACTACTTGATTGATTTTGGATGGCTACAGTGTTTCCAATTCCCATCCAATGATCAGCTTATTTCATGCCCATTTACTTTTCTAAAAAGTTCAAAGCTAATGAGTAATTAGATGATCATAACTGAAAGAGGTGAACGTTATATATAACTCAAGAGACTGGAAAATGTAAAAGTTAAACATCTGTCATATTAAGAAACCAGGACATAAAGATTGAACTCTTAATATATTAAGATGTTTCACATTGTCATTAAGATTGTAACTAGTGCAAAACAGTGCTGGTGCGAGATTGTTCCTGTTCCTGTTTTTTTTCCACTACAGTCTCTATTGTATTTCAGTTCTTTTCTGAGAAGTTCAAAAGAAGCTTTGCAAAAGGCTAATAACTTTAGTGAGAAAAATGCAGGAAATTACTTTATGGCAGGGGTGTCAAACTCAAGGCTTGAGTTTGAAGGGTGCTTAGATCTGGCCCACGAGCATCCTAGAAACAGCAAAGGACCAGCCCACGGTGATTCTCTCAGCGAAAATGGAGCTCGTGAGGACTCCATTTTCACTGGCAGAGGGCTGCAGGACTTTGAGCTGGCCATACCCACCCCAGCTATGCCCATTCATCCCTCCCTGAGGTCAAACACAACCTTGATGCAACCCTCAATGAAATCGAGTTTGACACCCCTGCTTTATGGTATATGAAATTTAATTAAACAAAAATGCCACTACAATACATGAAAGATTTAAAAGCAAAATTAATACTTACATAACTGTGGGTCTTTATAAAATCTGAGGGATTGCTTGTACAGACTTTTTCTCCTTCCAGGCCCATTACTCTTTTACAAATATTTGTTTTGGGGTCAGCTGGGTTTTTTGCAATGACAATATCACCTCTATGGAAAGACCATAAGGAAAAGTCAGCATCTAGCAATTTGTTAAGTGAAAAACATAATTTAAAATTCACCTAAGTCAGATATGTGGTTATTCTAATGTAGCCCACATCCTCCAGGTACTTCAGATTATTTTGCTTTTAGTCTACTGAGCAAGAGAATTCCAGGGCTGCAGTAGAGGAGAGATGGGAAGATAGTTGTTTTTATCTGCCAACTAAAAGACTAGATCAGCAGCCCGCAACCTTTGCTGCTTTGCAGCCTAGCTAGTGGCGGAAGAAGAGGCTGGCTCGTGCCCGCCCACAGATCAACTAGCAGCTCTGGCTAGCCACTCATGCAGCCCAATTCCAAATAAGCCAGTAGTGGGTCATGGCCTGGGGGTTGGTGACCCTGTACTAGATAAAATATCCTTCCTTTTTTGATAGGCAGTAATAATTCCATAAGTATATGGAGACTTTGGCAAGAAGTAACTTTTACTTAAAATGCAAACAAACCTAAGGTGACTTCTAGGGCATAGGCTTATACCTGGAAACACAACTATTTCATTTTAATAGTTACTTTTAAGTCTTGTGGTTCACTACAAGCTACAGTATGTTTGAATTGTTGTCCAACAGCAATAAGTATCTGATTGTAATTGCTTGGCTTAATGCATGCAATCCAGATTTTTATCATAGTGTTTAGCATTATGCACACATTCGGTACTCCATAAACTACTAATAAAATAGTATTTGGATAACAAAGAAATGGTATTTACATTTCTGGAGATAACTGCATTCTGACTTTGCATCCTGATGATAATCTCTAGCTATCCATTAAAAAGAAAGACAAGATGACCTTTAAATAAGCACTATGAAAGTATAAGGAAGAAAGCTTCCACCATCCATAAATGTTACTCTTTTAATTTTTGTAGAATGAAGATGTGAAAGCGTATGAATAATAATAATATGGAAAATGATAAAGGAAGCCACAAGTTCCTTAACAAAAAGCATATAAATACTTATTCAGGTAAACTATAAAAAATTAGAACATACTTCTGAATACGATAAAAGTGGCTGCTAACATTTATGGATGGT